GCTACTCTCTGCCTACTTATTGACAATGCAACTGTTGACGTCAGCAGCCTCCGAAGTACTTGAAGATGTCGCCCATGCAGACAATCGCCAATACCAGGTACGTGCCCTCACATCGTCATCATCATCATGCTTCTCTCTCTCCCTTGTCTTACTTCCACGTCTTCATTCTGTACACCCGAAGACCACCTCTGCGCCTCACTGTAGTCCAAGCCCAACCAACTATCGAGGCTGGGCTACAGCGCTGCCCTCAGCAGCGCCCTGCTCCCTGCACGACCGCACGCGCTAGCACCTTGCCTCTCAGCGCCAGCAGCAGCCCACGAGTGTCCGCTCCAGAAGCACTGCCGCTAGCATGCGAGTGCCTGAATGAGGCTGCCGGTGGCGAGCTCTTTCCTATATGGAAAGAGTCTCCTGCCTTCGCAGCCTGGCTGGACTGGCCTGGGCCCAGAAGCTTCCGGTAGGCCCCAGGATGCTGCGCTTGTGTTGCAGCTGCTGGGCCTATTTCGGTTGGGCCGCACAACTGTGAGTGTATGAGGCTGCGATTCTCGCCCAGGGCCTGCATTCTTGGAAAGGCCCAGAAGGCCGTGGAATGTCTTTGTTGTTCGGCCTGTATTTCCCTTAACCAACTGGCGCGTCGCAACTGTCTGGACCCAGGCGAGTCCAGCCAGGCTTCTCGTGATTTTTTTAGCCCCGCCTTCACTTAGAGCGTTTTCTGCATGTGTGTTTTTAGGAACCCCGAAATTGACAGTCGAGGGCCTCTCGTGATTTGTTAGCCCCGCCTTCACTTAGGGCAGGCACATATGCAACAGGGGGCCCTTAGGCCTGCCGAGGACCCAGATCCTCGGAGGAACGTGATTGCTGGTGTTTCTGTTTTTGTTTTCCTCGTTTTCTGTTCCTTCTCGTGCCCTGCCAGCCAGGCAGGGCAGATCCCATGCGGGGCAACTAGCGGCCTCACTCGCGTTATACTCACACCAGTACTCTAGCGTCCTGTATTGGACTGCGAACACAGCATAAGGGAAGTTTCTTTTTTCTTGTTCTTCATTTGTTTTCACCGGACAGACACGTCGGGAAAGGCCGTCATGGAGGTGGCAGTAACACCAGTGATTTGAGGAATGTATCTGGCCAGTATGTGTGGACGGGATTGCTAAGTTTTTTTCTTTTTTTTCTTGTTTTCGTTGCATTCTCATGCCCTGCCAGCGAGGCAGGGCGGATTCCACACGGGGCAACTAACTGCCTCACTCACGTCGTACTCACACCCGTACTCTAGCGTCCTGTATCGGACCTCGATCACTGCATAAGCGAAGTTTTTTTTTTTTGTTCTTCACTTATTTTTCATCTTTTTTTTTCTTCTTATTCTAAACTTCTTTTTTTGTCTTCTTCTTTTTTGGATGTAACTGTCATGAGTACCAGAAAAGAAAATACAATGGGACCCAGGCTCGACAAAACTTCATGCGCAGTGAAATTCAGGTTCGGCAATAACAGGTCCGGAGGTAGTGCTGGTTTACACCACCTGTACATCCGAAAAAGGAGATTGAGCCTCTTCTGAAAAATAGGAGGCCGTGAACCGCCGATTCATTTTATCGACGGTCCACATCCTCTGAACTTTGTAGGAGAGGATCAATCTCCTTTTTCGGATGTACTGGTGGTTTAAGGGACCCATACCGAACAGAGACACGGCAAGAAAGAAAGAAAGAAAGAAAGAAAGAAAGAAAGAAAGAAAGCCACACGTGTAAACATACGAGTCCCTGAAACGCCACGCAACTCCAAAAGCCCGAACGCCTGAGGGCATACTCGCACTAGCACTTTTCTACACGTATCTGACTGCAATTACGGCCAGAAACGGATCCATCTGACGGCAATCACATCCAGAGCTGAGTCGAAAACGTTTTAGTCTGAGTATGCCCTGAGACCGCTGCCCATGTGCTCTGAAACAAACACATGTGGGGATTTCGCGGACAGTCCACGCTCCCTCTCCCACTCCCCCAAAAGTGTTCAGTTCTGCACCACTACGTTAGCTCAAAGAAACCACGACCATCAAGCCCAACTCCCACAGCACCGCTCACCTGTAAGAACCAGTTGAGACTCGGTCACCGTTTCCACTCAAGCAGCACTCGAACTTGTCAAAAATGCTATCGTTCTCATACAAATCGCAAAGCTTTAACAACACAACGAAACAGTCAAAAGGATCACATCAACAACCACAAATCAGCGCCACATTACGACCTGAACCACACATTTCAACAATGCAAAAACTCGAGTTCATGAAACATAGCACCGATGACACCCGAAAGGGCTAATCAACCACACACAGACCAGTGGAAAACAAAAAGAAAGTCTGACATACTAGAAATAGTAAAATACCACCTGTACATGAAAGCTGAAAAAAAGAGCCCAACTAAGAAAACAGGAAAATACACAACTCCAAGAAAGGGCTTTTCCAGCTCATGATTTCTTATTTTCATCCGTTATTTAGAACTCTACTCGATCCAAACACTCATAACACAACTGTCTCAATCCAATCTTAACAGACGCCCAAAAGGAGTATGAACCCATTTCTCGCTTTATGCATGTCATTCTTGCCCAGGTGCCATGCTAATCTTCTGTGTCTCCTTCCAATCTTAACATACACCCGGAGGGACTATGACCCCTCCCCCCCCTGTCTGTAGCCCAGTACCATGGAGATTCCATCCTCAAAATGTGCACTGTAATTCTGCACGAAAACCTCACAAAAAAATTGGGGCCGCACCAGCAAACAACTGCCAAGCGTTTTGTCTCATTCATGATGACTCATCTTATAGTTTCTGCAGCACCGTCTTCCCCCAAACACAACACACCCTCATCATGGCAATACTGAACCCACGGACCTTCACAAAAAGGGTTGTGTTCACCAATGGGGGGGCTTAGCTCAGATACACCCACAAACTTCACAGAATTGTGCCACTGTACAGAATTGTGCCACACCGACGTGAAGCAGAGTGGTGGGATAAAACAGAGGCGACCACTCGTTCGCCAACGGGAAACAACTGAAGGATTACTGGCATCAGAGCCACAACCGCACACCAAGTCATCATAGAAAACATCATCCTGGGAAGGGGAAAGAAGACGGCGGTGAGCTTACCTTAGCTCTCAGGTGCTCATGCACTCGGAATGTCGCAACTGGTGCAGACTCCATGTTCAAATCCCAGAGCTATCACGAATTTTTGCACACTCGTACACGAGCAACCAAGCAAACAAATAACAACACAGTAGAGGATGCAGGATCGAATCAGTGTATAAAAAGAAGCCCTTTCCAATGTGCAGTGATCTCCCTTTGGTATTGTGACTGTTTTTTGGGTTGGTTTTGGATTTCTGTAACTGGTTATACCGCTTAAAGGTGGGTAGACCGTCCACCCGGTACAAGCACCTACTGCCACTAAAGCAGATCTTAGAAGAAGTAATAATGATGGTGGTAATAACCACAACTGTTATCTTCTTGTACTTTAGACCCATTGGCAGTGCTGCGGAATGAGAATCTTCTGCTCAAAACTCGTAGGGTTTTCATACTCTGCGATAGTGTTTCGTACTGGAATCTGGTCCAGATAAGGAAAGTTTTGGCCGTCATTCTGTTCTGCAGAGTTCTGCCACATTGTTGCATATGAAATTCGAACCTAGAACCTATCAGTAAAGTCTCCGTTTGCCAGGCCTTTTTTTTATTTTTAATTCGGATAATTTCTCGATTTACCTGTGTCATCCTTGTGCAGGGGCCATGCTAATCTTCTCTGTATCGTTCCAATTTTAACAGATGTCCTGAGGGACACCGTTTGCCAGACCTAAGTTTCAGATCTTTCAAACTCGCAGATCGGGACAGCAGAGACCGGTAGGCGTACAAAGTGCAACCTGTCAGACATACCAACCAATTCACACAACCAATGGGACATTTGCTTCATTCCACTGGTTCCCAAAGCAAAAAGCCACGCGCTACCGTCTTCACCCGAATAGAACACCCGGTATTTGGCGCTGTCTGGATTACAGCCAAAATGACCTGGCATTCTATTTGGGCGAAGATGGTGGCAAGGAACGCATTATTCTTCATTCTCTCTGATGCACGGTGACAAGGGCACCCGGGCGCCAATGGACATGTCCGTCCTGCTTTTTTGGCGTGAATAATCATTTGTAGTCTGGTATACGGTTTTCAATTAAAGTGTGT